CAACTGAAGCTCATTAATGAAGAGCTTGCAAGACTCTCCCCTTGACGAGTAAAATTGTCTGGCATTAGGAAAAGTAGAGCAACACAGTTGCAGCTTAATGGGTTAAGGATAAATACACTGATATATCACATTCAATGCTGTAATTCTTCTGTAATTATAATCCTTATTCATGTATTAAAATGCTAACATATCTTTAACAGCATTCAAATGTTTAATATATTATTTCATATTGTTAAAAACACAAGTATGTTTAATAGCCTATATTATTTCATATAGTTTTATTATTAAGTTTTATATACACCCTTGACAAAGGTCTAGAAAAGTGCCAAATTATTACTTATATGCCATTAATGCTAAAGACAATTATTGCTAAATTGTTGATATTAATAGTGCATTAGTGCACAGTTTAGTACAGAATTTACTATAATAGATTCAAATTGATATTTTATTCTTTCTTTCCTTGCCAGAAACCAACATTTCGTATGTTTCTTATGCAAATTGAACGTGGCAAATTCAAAATTATATTCAACAGAATTTCAGACACATGGCTCAAGTAACAATCATATTTTCACTACATTCTTTCGCAATTAAAGTGCTTGAATAACAAGTCAAAATAAAACTATTCTTACCTGTGAGATCTGAATAACATTTTACAAACTTTTTCATGCCTTTTCCATTGTTTGGGTTTGAAATTTCGATAAATTTCTCAACCATGTAAGACATGTAAATATGCTTTCAAATTTTTAGCACAAAAATTCGAAACGATGCTATCCCATGACACTTTGTGCTCCCACACTTACACTAGGCACCAGGCCTCCAGGCAATGCGCGAACTATTGTTTCAGTTGTCATGTAAGGCATGTAACATAATGTAACATAGTTTCTAGCTCTACGAATATAAGGAATATTTACAAATGTTTTCAATCAGTTATTGACTGTTAATTTATTTATAATAAATTCTCGGAAAACGAAAATTCTCTACAATGATTCCAATAAAACATGGAAAGAACTCAACTTTAGAAATTAAATTAGAATGTAGTTAGGGAGCATTCATTTTTTAGCTGGGGGGGTGGGCCGGAGGAATTTGGGGGTGGGTCAGCCAATTTTGACATGCTTCAAAGGGGTGGGTCTTTTTATAGTTTTGGTATAAATGGAGGGGGTCATAAAAATAATCAGTGAAAAAATCACCAATATGATTTTATAGAATTTGGAAATATTTGGATCAAGAATGGTAAAAAGGTATAGAATCTATCAACTATATCGTCATCTATAACAATGAAGCAAAATTCATTTGATGCTCTGTTCACACAGTCCATAGGAAAACATTTCCATGACATTTGTCAATTAACCTCGTTTTTATCCGTTTTTTGTGTGAAAACATGAATGAAAGAAAACGCAGGACTGTAGCATTATTTCAAAATCATGCATGATTTCAAGGTCTGCATGACTTCAAAATCATGCAGACCTTGATCAATTTTAAGCTTTATTAATTTTAAGCGGCTACATTATCCATGACAAACTGCAAAGAATGAAGATAGTACTCACAGTTTCCTGCAACTTATCCTAGTTATCCAATATATAGTAAATTAAATACGCCTTCGCCCATTTAGTACTACCAAATTGTCAATTTCGACATACTAAAACGCTGTTTTCTGACCATCAGAATTCTGTCAAATCTTTCCCCAAAGGCCAGGAAATGGCATTTCAGAGACTCTAGATTTAAAAGTTTCCTCGGGCCTTCGGCCCTCGCTTTCAGCCCCCCATTCAAAAAGAGTTTCCTATGGCCCTGAAACGCTATGGAAACGACACCATGTGGATTAATAGTTAGGATGAGGGGTCAAAAAATTTTCAGTAAAAAAATAGGGGGTCATAATTTTTTATCAACTTTTGTCTTAGGGGTTCCAAGTTTTCGCATGGAATTAGACATCAGTTCCTCCGGCCCCCCCCAGCTAAAAATTGAATGCTCCCTTATATGGTATCAGGAACGATGGAGAGTGGGTGGGGCAAGGTCTCCTTTCCTAAAGGGGGCAAATGTAGCATTTTAATATAAATAAAACAATATTTTTGTCCCAAACTTACTTTAATAACAAATTAATTAACAAAGATAAATATGATAGAAGATAATTTGTATATTTATTTAGCTATTTCCCAAAGTCCTAGGTCTAGTTGCACAAATCCCTTGTTGGAGGGACAAGAAATATAGCATCACATGTTTAAATTAAAGTTTAATGTAAAAAGAAGATATTTCATTTTTGGTCGTGTAAAAAGTTGATATTTGATAGTAGATACTTCTACTGTTTCACATATTTGATGCCTGTCTTCCAAATGACCTCAGAATATGCACTGTAATCTCTTTTGAAAAAAGCCAATTACAGTAAAGTGAATATACTAACCCATATAGAAACTAAATCCAGGATGACATTTGACATCTTGTTAAACAGGGGCGGATCTAGGGGTCGTCAAATCAGTCGCGCGACTGAAGTAAAAATTGCCTACCTAAAAAAAAATTTGACTCCAGCTATCTACAGTGGCCAGTAGATCGAGTTACTAAAATTTTGAATCGTACCGGTAGTCCAGTTATACGTTTCATGCTTCGGTAAAGTAATGTTAGTCAGTCACGAACAGCGGTCTTACGCATGAAAGTTGACGGATTCGGGGGTTAAATCTGGCTATCTGATTGGCTGACACACTCATTTCCATGGTTACGGTCATTTGCGACGGATCTGTGGGGAGGCCTGACGGATTTGCAGTTTCAGGGGCTTTGTATGAGCCTTCTGATTGAACCATTTAAAAAAATTCTGCACTGTCATTGGCTTATATTTTCGACGGATTCGCAGCGTGATGTATTCGTCAACACGGCATTAGTGTTTACCTCTGATGAGTATTTACTCCAAACGTTTATTATTACCACTGTGCTATTACGAGCGATTTCTACCAGCGATATCTGGAAACATTTTCGACAATGTTCAGTTTGCAATTGCGGCAAACGATTTGTAATCTCTATACAACGTTTGTAATGGTATACGGAGCTTGAAGAGAATATCGATGCCTCACAGACGAATTTTGTTGACAAGCTACTGAGCGGCGCCATCAACAACACAAGCAGAAGCCACGCTAGAATTTTTGGCACAGAGAGCTACTTGCTAGAGAAAGACAAAGCTTGCACTGCAATAAGGTAGATAAATGTATAGTTTTATAGTGATGTATCTTTAGTTCATATTAAAGGTTTATAAACCGGAGTACCAAGCCATCGGTGTTGTTATAAATGATTGTCTGACATATGATATTTTAATATATTCGCTATGCTGTATTGCTGTATTAGCATAATTCTCGCGTCAAGAAGCTAAAATATGTTAATATTCGATGTCTACATTGTACACATTTGTTGCTTCTCATGTTAGTGAAGTTTTATTTAAAATTTCTTTATATTTATGCATTGATCACACAACATGTACGCTTTAAGAGTATTGTTTATCCATAGCCTATCGACATGGCTTGTTAGACCTCATTGGTCTGGTGTAACATGATGAGTCTGGTGTAACAAGATGATGTGAAATATTTAATTGGGTAGCTTGAAAAGCTTTTTGACTGGTAGCCATTCTGATGTTACTAGTTTATTAATAGTATATTTTGTAAAATAATATATAATGATACACTTATAAGTATATAGTACCAATATGACGACGATTCATTAATCCACAGGCAAACATGTTAAATTGCTGCTGAGTTTTAAAGTATTATATAATTGTAAAATAATAATCTATAAAATTTTGTATTGAAATAGGATCAATATTTCTTTGTGCATTTGTAGTTTTTCTTACAGTGGATAAGAATCAAATGTTCATTTGAGTTTATCAATTTAATCTAAATATGTTTTATAATTTGGTTTAGGTTAATAGGTGGGGGGGGGGGTACTGATCGCATTTTACGCACGGAAAATTCTAAAAATCCAGTGGCAGACCATCAGCATAAAAATCATTTAGCGCCCACTCCCCCCCGCCTATAGTCGACCACGCCCAGTAGAGACCACGCCCAGCGCCGATAACGCCCCGTCCGCAAAAAAATTTTTGACTGAGGTACGAAAAATCCTAGATCCGCCCCTGTTGTTAAAAGAATACCAGTATTGAGGAAAATATATCATTTTGGAAAAAAATTGCAACAGATGTTATATTTAAATTTTAATAAGTTTATTTTCGTTCTTCGAGAAAATTTAAGTAAAAATAATTTATTATTAACCATTATTTCTTATGTTGAGAATTTGATTTCTTGTTTTAAAAATTTTCTTAAGAAAATGATTTGATATGAAGATGACAAAATCGTAAGAAAACATTCATATTTCAAGAAAACAAATGTAATTTAAGATATGTTACGAGAATTTTCCTTATTTCAGGAAAAAATGTCTTGCAAATCAAGTACTCATTTTGAAAATACGTTTTCTAATTAAGAAAATTAGTTTCTCATTTCAACAAATATTTTCTTGAAGTAAGAATTGTTTTCTCAATAAGAAATTATTTTTTGCTGTGTAGATACAGATACTGTATATTGACAGACAATTGGCATATCTACATATATCTGCAATTTTTATGCAGATATTTTGCAGATATTTTGACAGACAATTGACATATCTGCAAATATCTGCAACTTTTATGCAGATATTTTGCAGATATGTTAACAGATAATCAACATATCTGCAAAATATCTGCAACTTTTATGCAGATATTTTGCAGATATTGTAGACCTTGTTGCAGTTATGCTGCAGCACTGCAACAGATATGTGACAGATACTTGCAGACATTTTACATATATATCAGTTTGGTAAGGGTATACATGTTTACCTTGTCAGTAAACATGTATAACAGTGCATCATCGTTTCTAGCTATGACTTCAGATAGAGCTATGATTTCGAGCTATGACTTCAGATCAAAGCTATCACCTTCTTGAATAGACACACCAAGTTTTTGTATCGTTGAAATCATCACTTCAGGATCAATGATCATTTGTTCAATGATTATTTGTTCCAATGTGCAATATAATATGATCAAATTGCTTTTCAATTGTTGGTTTCACATAGTGGAGCATGTCTTCGATGCTGGCTCCAGGGAAGGTCTTGATATTAGCTTTGCCGTTTATCCCATATGTTCCAATTTTCCTAGGATTTAGGTGCTTCAAGATTGAATCACCAACAATAACTGTATTAGTAGGGTGTTTTGATTTTGATTCATCGAGATTGGTTTTGTGGATTGATAAGTCCTTCATTGTTGCTCACCTGATTGCTGTGAATGACGTTGATGTCCTCGATTTTGATAAACTGCGTCCTGCTTCTGCTTGGTTGCTTGACAATGCCGTTGATCTATATCTTGTCTTGAATTATCTGTAGTTTGATTATTCCTGGCATCCACGATAGTCTCTGTTCCTTCACCATCCTCAACATGCAGAATAGAGTACCTGTTATGCAGAATGACATCACAATGGGCACTTTGAGTTGAAGCTTTTGAACAAGTCATAATCCATGGGTTTTGTGTTTGATACGTGTTTTTGAATTTATTGTTCGTTGCTGGGTTAGTTGTAATGGCTTGTTCGTCATTGAGAAGCGAATGACTGTTACGAGCCTTTTCAATTTCAGCAGTTTTTAATTTTGCGTTTAGTTCTGTTAATACACTTTTCAAACGAGCTAACTCTGTTTCGCGAGCTCCATTCTGTTCTTTCAGTAAAATATTTTCCTGAACGAGTTGATCAGTATCTGTCAAGGTTTTCCGAATTTCACATACGTTTATAAGTTCATTCAAGACAATTGACAACTCGGTTGGGTGCAATTCACTACAGGATCGCTGAGATAGATGTACCTGTCCCTGGTGGCAACCATGTTGAGTCACAAACAGCAAAACACAGATCAGTATTATTTGGCCCACTCAATGACAAGATGCCTGAATCTGTCTACTTGGAGATCAATGGTGAGATGGTTAAACAAGCCGCTTCAAGAACAAGAGTGACAAAAGCAGTTTTAATGACGGTCTTTTTCCTCAACAGAAATTTGCCAGTAGGCGCTTTTTACATCTAATGTGGAAAATAGTGCAAGTTTCCTAAAAAATCTAATATATCGTCAACACGAGCGCATGGCCAACAGTGACAGAGTTCAGCTTTCTATAGTCAACACAAAAGCCCCTTTTGCCACCTTTCCCCTTAACTAAAATGATGGGACTAGACCAAGGACTTGTTGACTCGCAAATTATGCCTTTCTCTAACATTTCATTGATCTATCGCTCAGATTCTTCATGGTGGGCAAACGAAATGTGGCGAGGATGTTGTTTAATTGGCGTGCAATATATGGTCCAGAGCAGAAAAGGCCCTGACAGTTTAAGAAAATTTTATCCGATGGAAACAACAAGGAATCACTGCTGGAATTTTTTTTCCAGTCTTGGACTTCTGCACAACTTACAACGGACATCACAATTTATGTAGCTCATGGGAAGTTTTGTCACAAGTTGTCATGGATGCAGCATGGACGCAGTGAAGTTCGAGGGTGCCGAGTTTTGGAGAGTGACCATGAAGAGGCTGATACCCAACTCATCTTACATGCTGCACATGCCAGCTTGGACCATTCTGGTGTTACCATTCAGAGTCCTGACACCGACATCACAATCATGGCACTTAGTCATCAGGAAAGGATTGCATCCAGGCAATGATGTTAATCACCTTAAGTACAAATTGTTTTGTTCTTTGTTGACATCGTAACAAAGCCTGCCGCCTTGTAAGAATGCATTGATTCAGCATTCTAGAAGAGCTAATTATCAAGCTGCGATTCATAGAAAGGCATTAACTTCTTGCATACTTGCACCTCCCCCTGACAGCCATGGTTGGGCTATTAAGGACGGAGTTCTCAGCATTGAATGGATGACTCAACCGAGCATGCCAGATACTCTATTGGTCTCAGTAAGTTGCAGTTGTAAAGTTAGCAAGTGTTTGCAAGGAAGATGCTCCTGCAGGAAGCAAGATTTGGTATGCACTGACCTATGTAAATGCACAAACTGTGAAAATAGAGATATTATTACAGATGAAGTAGAAGTTGGGTCTGATTGTAGTGAAGATTACATGGATGACATTGATTAAGTAGTTAAAGTTACATTGGATTGCGACTGAATCATTAAACTATACCACTAGAAAATACATGCATGCAGAAACCCTCACCTTGCTGACAAAACCATTGTATTTTCCGAACATGAAGATCTGAAGTAGTTGTCATGGTAACACGATAATTTTTTAAGAATATTCTTACAAATGAAAAATCGCCTACAAATATCACTTTTAATTACAAAATTATCAATTTCCCAACATATATATGTTAGGTATGTTATTATATGTAATATAAGCTTCAATTTAAGGTAAAATTCAACCACAAATGCTTTGCAAAACGTTTTATAGTGTTCTTTATAAAACTAAACTGCCTTTAATTAAATGGCTTTATTGATAAACTTTGAGTTTGCAATGAAATGATTTCAAATTCTCGTATGCAATTAAATTTAATTTTTTTATTTAAAAAATTCAATATAATAAAAAAGGAAATCAATATTAAAGATACACTGAAATTATATGCTGTCTTTGTTTAGTTGTTAACATAGGCTCCCTTCTTTTAGAAGTAGGTATTCCCATGCAACTATGTGCCCAGGGTCACGTTTAACAAACTGACCCTGATTATTCTGAAGTTTCCGTCTTTTATGTGTGATGTCATGCATGATTGCACTTAGAATAGTATTCTGTTCTAATTGCATTCCTGCTGACATCAGCTCACGAGAGAGGGAGAGTTATGGGCAATGCTAACCCTGTCGCAGAGCCATAGTAATTACTGGTGGCCTTAAACGAGGTAACCCCAAACTATTGTACATCATTCCCTAATTACTACCTGAAACTAAATCTTCCTTATCCCAAAACTTGACCAACACCCAAAACTACACGCCAGAACTAAGTGACAAAAAAGGTTTAAAGTTAAGTAATTGGTCACAGTTGTGGAATTGAGTACCCAAATCTTCCGCAGGGGTGTGTGTCATGCCACTGGTAGAATACTCTCGTTAAGTCTGTCCACAGTATTTCTCACTGTGAGGACCTTGTCTGCTTGTGTGTAGTGACCAACCATCCGTGTTGATGACCATCTGATATGTTTGGTGATGATGTTCTTGGATGCGCCAAGCAGGCTAAGTAGAATGGCAGTTCCACCTCTAAATCCATGAACCGTCTCGTAGGTCCAGAAATATATAGGAAATATATTACCTCTAAATCCATGAACCATCTCGTATAGGCCCAGAAACTTCAAATACGTTACAAACATTGCTTGAGCAGCGGAGGCCAAGAAAGGGGAACTGGATATGGAGGTGTGATTGGCGGTTGTATGGAAGAGGAAACCTGAGGCTAAGTCGAGTTGCATTGCTTTGCACAATGTATGATAAAATTTTAGATTTTCGACTGGGCAGATGGAAGGATTCTTTGATGGATGAAGTGGAATTGGATGGACAGCAGTTTCTCTTATCGATTTTCCAACGTGTTGGTAAATAAGTAAGACGTTTGCCATCGGGATGTTGTAAAAAGTCCACCATCTTCAGTTGACCCAAATCTCCTCTGGCCAGTGAAGAACGCGAGGATAAATAATGTTAAGTCTCAAGCATAAATATATTTATTAATTGCAATTGTAAACGGGCTGGAAAGAAGGTCTCGTAAATGACGAATAACCTTGTCAAATCTATCGAAAAATAAAGGGGTCGCTTTTCGGGGAGATACTCTAGCTTCTGCTTGCTCGGCCTTGATTGATTTTAAGTATTGTTTTACTGAGTGGTGCGTAGCGGGGTTACCAGTCCCTGAGTGGCTGTCGTACTCTCCCAATCAATCTAACAAATTAAATATGGAGTGGAGTTTTCCAGTTGTAGAATCGACTGTGCCGGCGGACAAACGTGAAGGGCACACACACTGTCCCCTCGTTCTAGACCCCAGTAACTGACAATCACTGTTATGGACCTTTGTCCTTCCCTTTCTGGCTTTCCAGACGAGGGAACGGACCACATCATTAGGTTCACAAGAGGAGGGTGTCTTGTGTGAGCCAAGTGCTGCGAGAAATGTTTGGAGTTCAAGCTCTAATCACGATTTTTGTCCCCCATATCTGGACGATCTCCTGCGTGACTCAAGATCTTTTATTCGGCAATCTATTGATTGTATATCAAATTCTAAATCCTGTGGTGGAGTAATAGTGGTTGCTGAGTTCTGTCCCCCACATTTTTGGCAGAACGCAGCACAGTCATCATTGGGGTAATGACAAGTTTTACAGGTGATCGCAGGGCGCCATATCCGGGGCACGCCCTAAACAATGTTGAAAAGAAAAATCAGTTTGTCAGTGGATACACACATAACACAGCCTCATAATCGAAAGGCCCAGAGTGTTGGAAATTGACGTTATTTTGCTTTAGACATTAGTGTATTTTGAATGACAACAATGGACATTTAGAGTTAGTAGGGGATTGCTGAGCACGTGTGAGAAAAGAGGGGGGAGTGAACAATGTTGTGACTGTGACTTGGGATTTTAAAACACCGAGTTGGGAGTATAGTTTATTGCTATTAAATTATAAAATACATTTTGTGTTCTGTACTTATTTGGAGGCACAATTTCAGAATACGTGGCACCTACCGACGAAGATATATTTGTGATATTTTGGGATTTATTTCAACGCTAGCGAGCAATTTATTATTGTGAACGAGGAAGCGAAACTCGATACAAAACTCACTCAGTTGAGATTGACGGCGCAAAGAACCGTGAAAATACTTGATGCTGGAAAACGAGAAACGATCGAACAGCATTTAAAGGCACTCCAAACAACAATAAGCGAAACAGATCAGTACAAACGTACGGTTGAGGCTGAAAAAATTGGTAAGGAAGAAGACCTAGCAGAAATTAGCGACTGGAATACGGAAATCGAAGCGAAGATAGGTGAAGCTGAAGTAAATCGACTTCAACAATGGCTCGGCAGCAAAAAGATGGAAGAAGAAAACTACGCTCGAGAGGAACAACTTAAATTCGAAGTGAAATTGGGAGAAACAAAGCTTCAGATGCAAGCTAAAATTCAGGATGCAAACCCGGGGGAGCATAACACCTCGAAAACTGAGACGGGGGAAGGCATGAAAGGTATGTCAGTGAGATTACCTAAAATTAATATTGTGCAATTTGATGGGTCATACATATGGATTGGCCAAGATTTTGGCACCAATTCACAGAGACAGTGGATAAGTCAAATATAGCTGCTATCAACAAATTTACATATCTGTGTGGGTTTCTGGGACCAAAAGTTAAACGCCGTGTAGAGTCATTGCCATTTACTGCGGAGGGATACAACCGGGCAAAGTCAATTTTGCAAGATCAATATGGCAAAACTCCAGAGATTGTTAAAGCCTATATTAAAGAGATCATGGATTTGCCACACATTTCTGCAGCCAACCCAAAGAAAATAGCAGAATTCAGTGAGAAATTGAATTATGGTGTTCAAGCCCTTGACAAACTCCACCATACAAGTATATGTGATGCCAAAGATCGAGATGATAAAGCCACTACTGAACGAAAAGTGTTAACTGCAAGTGGAAGCACAGCTGAAGGAATTTTCCCTGTTGTGGTAGTCAAGGTGAATGGAATAACATGTCGAGCACTGATAGACTCTGGTGCTGGTAGCTCGTACATATCTGGCAAACTTGCTTCCATGCTGAATGTGAAACCAATCAAGTCAAGAACCTCAAAAATTGACATGCTTTTGACATCTAGAACCACCAGGCTGGATATATATGAAGCGAAAGTCGAGTCAGTTGACGGTGATTATGCAGTGGATGTAAATTTGATCAAAGTCGAGAAGGGGGAGCTACTCACTATTGACAATCCTCATGATAAGTTACAAAGTGAATTTGATCACCTTAAACAAGCAAAGTTCATTGATGTCGAACAGAAATCTCAATTACCTGTTCATGTTGTGTTGGGAAGTGGTGAGTACGCGCAGATAAAAACTCGAACAAATCCTCTAGTGGGAACTGAAGGTCAACCAATTGCTGAGAAGACAAAACTTGGATGGTTCGCCATGAGCCCTGGTGTAGAGCTGAACCACAACATGATGCTTCTAACTCAAACATCCCAGAAAGATTATGAAGACCTGTGCCGCCTTGATGTGTTGGGACTTGCAGATACAGCTGAGCATGATCAATCTATGGTCTACAGTGAGTTCAAAGAACAATTGACTATATCTCCATTGGGCTGGTATGAGACAGGCCTTCCTTGGCGCGGAAACCACCCACCACTACCGTCAAATGAAATGGGAAGCATCTGCCGATTGCAATCTTTGGAATGTCGCCTGCAACGAAAGGACTTAATCGAAGACTACAACACAGTGATCGAGCAGCAGAAACAACAAGGAATTGTGGAACCAGCCAATAACGAAGCCACAGGGAAAGTATTCTACCTACCCCATAAGGAAGTTGTACGAGAGTCGGCACAGTCAACAAAGCTGCGAGTTGTATATGATGCTTCTGCGAAAGCCTCTCCTGTAAGCCCATCCTTAAACGAATGTCTTTACGCAGGTCCCCTCTTCAGAACAAACTTTGGGAGATACTAGTTAGAGCCCGAAGTTTCCCAGTAGCAATCACAGGTGACATGGAGAAAGCATTTCTCCAGATCCGTGTAAAAGAGAGTGAAAGAAATGTGCTAAGATTTCATTGGCAAGAAAACCCACTAGCTGATGTGGAGGTATTGCGGTTCACCAGAGTATTGTTTGGTTCGGTATCATCGCCATTCCTGCTTGGCGGAGTTTTGGAAGCGCACTTAGATTACTGGAAGAGCAAAGCTCCAGAAGCAGTGGACACACTGAAGAAAAGTCTGTATGTCGATGACATTATTTCGGGGGGTAACACTGTTGGTGAAACAAAACAGTGCAAGTCTGAAGCTACTGATATACTGGGTGATGCAACCTTTTCACTTCATAAATGGGCATCCAATGTGAACGAACTGGACGGAGAAAGTGACAACAACAAAGATCGCGAGGAACAAACAGCAGCAAAACAACAGCTCGGCGTGAAGCCAACAGAAATGAAGATCCTGGGTGTGAAATGGGAAAAAGAGAATGATACACTAAGTGTGCAACTGGGATCGAACAGCGAAAGTCCTACAAAGCGAATCATCCTTAGTCGGTTAGCCAAGATTTACGACCCAATAGGAATTGCCTCACCTCTGTTGTTGCAAGGAAAACAAGTCTACCGAGAAGTATGTGACCACAAGCTACCATGGGATGTAGAATTGAAAGGAGTGACTAAGAAACTGTGGGGAAAATGGGAAGATAACCTGCCCAGCGAAGTGACTGTGCCAAGACCAATTGCACCTTTCCAAGATCCGGTGGAGAAATTGGAGATTCATGGATTCGGAGATGCCAGTGGCAAGGGGCTGTGTGCATCGGTGTACACAGTTGCAAGACAACCATCTGGTGTTACTCGAGAGTTACTAGCTGCGAAAGCAAGACTTGCAAAGAAACGACTGACCATACCAAGGTTAGAACTTGTTGCATGCCACATGGTAACCAATTTGGTCAACAATACAAGCAGAGCTCTTTGTCATATTCCACACGAGAAGCACTGCTGGTCAGATAGCACAGTAGTGTTATGGTGGATCACAGGAGAAGGCCAGTATAAGCAGTTCGTGGCAAATCGAGTAGCATAGATTCGAGATGCTGAAGGAATCGAGTGGCATCATGTACCGACAACAGAGAACCCAGCTGACCTCGGAAGCAGGGGTGGTCAACTTACAAAGCTCTGGTTAAAGGGTCCTACTTGGCTGCCAGATCATAGTCATTGGCCACCGAATCTCGTTGTCAAACCATCTGCCGATTCTCAGAGTGAATCCAAAGCAACACGAGCGATTCTCAATGTAGGTGTGGAACGAGTGGAGTCAGCAATCCTGGGAGATATTCTGAGGAAGCATTCATTGACGAAAACCCTAAGAATTGGTGCATGGATAAAGAGATTCCTCGACAACAGTCGCGTGAACGTAGACAGCAGGCAACATGGTCCATTAACAACTGATGAGATTGACCAACAGCGTCTATGGTGGATCAAATAAGTACAAGCAGATGCAAAAGAAGATTCAAAATGTCAAAATGATTCAGTTCAGTTAAACCTACAAGCCGGTGCGAATGAGATTCTGAAGTGCAAAGGACGTGTACAAGGACAACTTCCTATTACCTGCCCAACAGCTCGTTGTTTGCCGTGAAACTTGTGGAAGAAGCTCATATAAAGACGCTCCATGGGGGAGTTATTTTGATGATGGTGAAGATTTGTGAGAACTACTGGATACGTCGCCTAGTAAAAAAGTCACAAAAGGGATGCGCACGATGCAAGAAGTTTATGACCAAACCTTATCAAGCTCCAACACCTGCACCATTACCAACAACATGAACGGAAGGGACTACTCCTTATAAAGTTATTGGAGTCGATTTCGCCGGCCCAATCACGTATAGAGGTAAGAAAACCCAAGAAGGGAAAGCATACTTAGTCCTATTTACATGTAGTTTGACTCGAGGAGTTTACCTAGAAGTTCTGAAGAGTCTTGAAACAACCCCTTTCCTTCAAAGTCTCAAAAAGACTAATCGCCAGATGAGGTCGACCTTCTCTTATCTACTCGGACAACGCAAAGACGTTCCAAGCGGCTGCATCATGGTTAAACAAGGTGATGAAAGACGAGAAATTCCACAGTGAACTGAGCAAGTATTAGATCAAGTGGAGATTCAATTTGTCACGTGCGCCCTGGTGGGGCGGACAATTTGAATGATTAATCGGAATTTTCAAATGTGCTTTTTACAAGGTTATTGGCAAAGGACTTTTGACATTTGAAGAGCTGTCGGAAGTTGTTCTAGATGTAGAAATCTGTCTAACTATCTAGAATAACTGGCCACTAAGCTACTTAGAGGATGACATTGAATTTGCTATTCTTACACCAAATTTGTTTGTGCTACAACAGTCGAATGTTGTGCCAGAGCTAGAATGTTATCATATTGAGGACGGTGATCTACGAAAGAGGGCAAGGTACTTGCAAAGCGTAAAGAACCATCTATGGAGACGATGGCAAAGAGAGTACCTGACGAGTTTATGGCAGCGTCATCAGACCAACAGCAAGTCAACTACAGTTGGTCCCAATGAAGGAGATATTGTGTTGATCAAAGGCGACGAGAAGAACAGAAACAAGTGGAAAATGGGAAGAGTTACGAAGTTAATTTGTGGGAAAGATAACGTTGTCAGGGGAGTTAAGCTTCAATGCGCTAAATCGACTATAGAAAGACCGATTCAACTGATTTATCCCTTGGAACTGGAATGCGACATGGGGAACTGCGAGACGAAATTGAATACCAATGCAAAAGAATTCAAGCCAAGCTGACAAGCAGCAGTCAGAGCAGAAGCAAAGAATAAGGAACTGTTTGAACGGGATGAGAAGGACGAATGACAATTAAACATTGAGACATCGGGGTTTTCTAGTATAACATGCGACTCCTTATGAGTCACAAGGGGGGAGGGTGTTGGAAATTGACGTTATTTTGCTTTAGACATTAGTGTATTTTGAATGACAACAATGGACATTTAGAGTTAGTAGGGGATTGCTGAGCACATGTGAGGAAAGAGGGGGAGTGAACAATGTTGTGACTGTGACTTGGGATTTTAAAACAGTGAGTTGGGAGTATAGTTTACTGCTATTAAATTATAAAATACATTTCGTGTTCCGTACTTATTTGGAGGCACAATTTCGGAATAAGAGGTCCCACTTCAGAGGTCAGGGTTCAAAGACTCCAGTGTGGGTAGGAAACAGCAAAATACCAGGCTGCAATTTCCTACCCAGACTGACAGAAGGTAGAGCATGACCATGAACTATAGGCCACCAAAAGCGTTGTGGGAAGATGTCAGGGAAAACTATGGTAACTGGACATGGTGAAGAGAGCAAGAATCGGAGGGCAGGGCCAATCATCGCTATAGGCGGGAAAACATATGCATTGTCGTCAGGCTGTAGACTTTGCGTGAAGAGATTAACATCAGCAGAGTTAGGAGTCAACCAAGGGCAGAACTGACGAAGGGCTTTGCCATCTGGGTCCAGCTGTGCATTTGAGTCGAGGGACGCACACAGGGAGTGGGCAAGCATGCAATCTGCATCAGACAGTACTCAGGATGGAGTATCTGTGAGGTTCTCCTTTGACAGTATGTGACATAAGGTTAGTCCAATATTATGGCGTAGGGAGAGGTCGGAAATAGCTGTCAGCACTCTTGTGAGGTTCGAACTTTTACCGCCTTGGTTCTTCCATGCTCGCACAAGGGTAAGGAGGTAGTTTTTCCCGCGAAACGTTGCAATGTATTGACATCGACTTCTTTGCGGGATAAAATATCCTCCCTTAAGGACTTGAACTTTCCATTTTTATCTTCTGACAATAGGAAGCCTTGAGCAAGCAATTCAAACATTTAACACAGAAACCGCACAAACTGTAAGGGGAGTAACTGCTATTTTGAAAGGGCTATGGTGTAGCCATAGATATAGGAGATCTAGATTGCTAACGCATACCTAGCGCAGGCGGGGCCTACATGATAAATCCAAGATGGCGGTACAACAGGGCAAAAAGACTATAAATTCTATTACGAAAATCAGGATTTTTGCATTTTTTGTCGTCACATTGTTTTGAAACTTATTCGGTCAAATTTTATGGTAAAGAGAAACTTACCGCGAAGATTTTGAGCATATATATGATTGAATTGGATGAAAACTCGCAAAATTATCCATCAATAAAAGTTTGTGTATAGTACTGATATAGTACTATATATGTAAGTTGTACAGTTTTGCTTTAATTTTTGCTCACTATTTGCATAAAAAGCAAATTATAACAGACCATAGATGATAGACCCTCATCCATTGCTCTCATCAGTTTACTTATTTAACAAGCAATGAGGGGGGGGAGGGGGTACATAACAGTTCATTTTTCATAATTATTAGGACAGAGCAGATGATGATGAGAGATGCAAGTATAAAACACCATTTACAAGGCTAGATGTTAACATAGCACAGTATTTCTGGCAATAAAACGCTCCAACTGACCATTTCACACGAACTTTTATCGCTGGATAATTTTGTGAGTTTTCATCCAATTCAATCATATATATGCTCAAAATCTTCGCGGTAAGTTTGTCTTTACCATAAAATTTGACCGAATAAGTTTCAAAACAATGTGACGGCAAAAAATGCAAAAATCCTGATTTTCGTAATAGAATCTATAGTCTTTTTGCCCTGTTGTTCCGCCATCTTGGATTTATCATGTAGGCCCTGCCTGCGCTAGGTATGCATTAGCAATCTAGATCTCCTATATCTATGGGTGTAGCCTAGGGTGGGAAGGATGGAAGTGACAATGTAGGCTGCTGCCTATGCCTTTTGGAAGTCGGACCAGTTGCATGTAGTGGGTGTGGCTAGTTGGCCATTGTTTAATAACTTTGTTGCATTCAAATAATTTTACATAAATTTATATCTATAAGACTGTGTCTGTCATCAATAAACTGACTGCAAGGTACTCTTAGTGTGCGGATGTAGCTAGTTGCCACCAATCTGGTAGAGTTGTAAATGTATGTGCTAGCTTTCCAGCCAAATGGTAATGACGCGTACACAAAATGGGGGGTTGAACTTGGCCAACAAATCCCAAAAAGATCAAAGAGCCCATCCGGGCTTGTTCTCTAATCGTTGCAGAGACAAAGTCCTCACAGGAGGGGCGATTCGGTTGCTTCCTTTAACCATTTTTGCAATAGTTGAAGTGACTGTGGTTTCTTCCTTCGTTCCTAACAAGCGAATTATGTCACCAAATTCTTGGCGATAGGCAAGAGGTCTGACCTGGCGGAGGATGGCCTCGTACTCTGCCGACCTGGGGTGGTTGTTGCATCGAGCCACGTCGGAAAGGTTTTGTATCACCGATAATATCATGGTGGGGTCACAAAGGTGAAATGGAGTGCACGCTAGCTGACGTACAGACTGTAGAGCAGCCTCTTCTCCCCCTGTATTAGGGCATTGTGTTTTCAAAAGTTCGAGTTCAGCTTTAAGAGCAGTCAATTGATCTTCCACCTAAAATCGGGAGGGAGTTAATAAGGAGTATATTAACTCATCACTGCCAGCGTCAAACAAATAACATAACTCTGTCCGCATATGGTGATAATATGCCCAGCTTCATATGTGCTATTGCTAATAAACGATTGCCTAGTTATGATTTTCGTGAAATAATGGTTGTTCAAAGTCAAAATCCTTAGTCAAATTATATGTCTCAGCAATACTGGGATACCGTTTTGTATTGAAATTGTCCTACTTGCCTGCTATCAAGACAATCTCAATATTAATATTTGATATCTTTATTAAAAGTCTAGATACTGAAGCAAATTTATATAAAAGGTAAGTTTCTTTTCCATCCCTATATACAGTTCACTCTACTATAAATTGAATATTGTGTCTATAACTGACTACCAAAAAATCTCACGCAACGTATGGTACTCCATGCAAATACGAAGCACGCGGAAATTTGATTTTGGGTCTCACAGTCGCAGCATTTGGAGTTACAGTAAGTTTTTTCCCGAAAAAATATTATTTTTAAATTTGTCTATATTTAAAAAACTACAATTATTTGTAGAATATATATGTTTTGAGCAGAAACTACTTTATTTGGTGGGTTTTTCTATTTCAATTTCATCTTTTTTAAACATTTTTTTTCTTTTTTTTATAGATTAATTTAAAAGATACTAACAGAAAAGTATGAGTATATTTTTAATATATTTACTGTATATGTATGCTCCTGAGGTAGTCTAAAACAGCCTCTAATGTATTTTAATGATACAACACGTTGCCTGCTCATTTATATTAAGCATTAAAAAAGTTTTCGATATTATAAATACAATTGCCTTCTGGAGGAGGAATTTTATTGTATGCTACTAATGCTAACTGGTCTTCCATGTTTTCTTTTACAGCAAAGGACAAAGCTTAAAACAAGTAAGTTGAATAAAATAAACTGCTTTTTTAAATGAATATGAATATACATGTATAATTTGAAAATATTTCAAAGAGCTTTATGAGTTGTTTAATTTAACCAAAGTACATTTTAAGAACTAATGTAAATCATTTCCAAGTAATGCGTATACTGTATCTTGTGAATTTTAGTGGAAAATAATGATGACACTATTCTTGGTACATATACAATACTGTATTAACAGCTCTGTGAACCCACATAAATGTATATACTATATATACTATATACACTATATATACTATACTATATATACTATATATATACTATATATATACTATATATATACTATATATACTATATAATATATACTATATATATACTATATATATATACTATATATATATACTATATATATATACTATATATATATACTATATATATATATACTATATATATATACTATATATATATATACTATATATATATACTATATATATATACTATATATATACTATATATATACTATATATATACTATATATAGCCTATATACTATATATATATACTATATATATATACTATATATATATACTATATATATATACTATATATATATACTATA